CCATACAGTTTGTAAGCAATATAAGTCTCTGTGTTTACTTGGTTGGGTCTGAGCGGCTGTGGGACTGGCGGGTGAGAAAGATTTGTCCTGACTGTGGGCAAGGCAGGAAAACTGTAGCTACACCTGATCACATGACTGATTTAACAAACTCCCTTATCATTCAAATGAATTCAATACCAAATGGACAGGAAGTGGACATCATACACATCTGGGGTACAGAAGGTACAGAGAGCTGTTAGTGTGTGTCTGCGTGGGAAGGAAGTAGGTGAGTGGTGATGATCACAAGGTCACGGAGACTCACGGTGTCCAGGGAACAGAGGGAAGGGCAGAGCCCAGGCAGGGACCTTGTTAGTTAATTGGCCAGGCTGTGCTCTTACCCTGCAAGGAAATGTCACGAAACACGACAGAATCCGCCAATAAGAATTTTATTAAAGATAAAGGGACAGAGAGTGTGCAGGCCTGTAGGAAACACGTGTGTGGAGAAGAAGAAGGAACCGGGAACATGGCGCCTTATTTTAAAGGCCGGGCGTGCACAGGTCGATGTCACTACTCCATGCGTGCGCGTAGATCACATGGCCACGTTGCGCCTATGTAGCCATGCCACGTCATGGTTCCTGGTCACTCGAGACGCCTTGACCTGGAAATGGTTATCTTGATCTGGAACTGGCTAGGCAGAAGTGTCCAGGTCTGCCAGGCATCCTGGTCACTCGAGATGCCCTCACTCGGAAATGGCTACCCTGATCTGGAACTGGCTAGGCGGAAGTGTCCGCCGGGCATATGCAAACACGCCCAACCATGGGGCCATATTGTGAACCCTTCAGACCTGGGAATCCTGTGGCTGCAGTTCTGGAAGGAAGTCATAATGAACAAGAGGCAATGTCCCAGGGATGCAGAGGGAACTCATCCAGGTAATGCAAAGCCCAGAAGCAGGTCCAAGATGGGCAGCACAGGAGAGAGAGAGCACATACACTATCCGAAATCCCACGTGAATCAAGTTCAAAGCCGGGTAGCGTTAACAGATGGCAAAAGAAATTTGTGAGTGTGGTTACATAGAGTTGGATGGATAATCCCTGTAGGAAGGGGCTCCAGGGAACCTTCTGGGCCATTCTACAAATACTCTGTACTATATGCAGATGGGGTGTATCTGTATCCAAGTTCATGGGGCTATACCTTCAAGACCAGTGTGTATCTTGACTTTCCCCAGAGACCCTGGAAGCATGCTGGTGTACCCTCCCTTCATGCAGGAAGTCCCTTTAGGGATTTTCCAGCTGCCAGCCATGGGAGTCTCTCCTGCACCCCACATCCCTGAGCGACTGTGGAGAGCTGCATCTCCCCACTTGGCTTGAAACAGCGTGACCCTGCCGAGCTGCAGCATGGGGACCTGCTCCTGGGACAACAGAGAGGGAGATCTGGAATGTTCTTTGAGGTTGGTGAGCATGTGGGAGTGTCTCCTCCTCTCAGCCACTTAAAGAGCCAGGCTGTTGGGAGCTGGGAAGCATTTAAATAAGACCAACAGAAACGTGATTGGTGTGTCGGGGGCTGGTTCCTCAAAGGGGAGCAGGAAGGACAGGCACTGGGGCTTAGGACCAAGTCAAGAGCTTGCTTGCCCTGCTCAAAGCTCTGGGGTGGCATCCCTCGGGAGGCTTCTTGTCAACTGCAGCTGCGGGGTTACGTGTTTCATTCAGAATGCCCAGCAGGAAGCTACAGGCTCTACATTCCAGGGCTTTTAGTCATTTTCTCTTGCGGAGCTCTGGAGCTGGGATTAGGACGTTCTTCAAACCTCACTGTCCTCGGCTGGTCTCCCAAGAGGAAGTGGGTGGGTCACTGGGCTCCGGAGAGAACACAGGCCCAAACTCAGGGATCAAGGCCAGCAGAGCAAATCCACAGAGGTCAGCTGAAGGTGTCCCAGGTATGTCAAAGGGATGTGAGCCGTGGGGTGGTAGCTCTTGCTCTCCGAGCCACAGGCCAAGGAGAACACAGAGTCTCTCTGTGTGTGGTGTGTGGTGTCTCTGTGCACGTGAGATGCACAGTGGAGACGGACAGGACACGTAGCAACATTCCATCCCGCTGGACCGCACACTAGAGCTTTGCTTTGTTCCCAGTCCGAGGAAGAGAAGGACCCGGACTTCCCACATGGAGAGGACAGTGGTGACACATGTCCAGATTTGGAGCAGGGAACGGACCCCACGGATACAACCCAGAGAAACCATAAGTTTGTTAGAATGTCCGCTATACTCCTGGCACCGAGCCCCGGCCCGGGTCGGGAATAGAGCAGCGTGCAAGAGAGACTCCATCCCAGTCGTCACCATAGCGCCTGGGACATGTGGCCTGGCAGGTGCCCACTAGGGTAAGGGAGAGAGCATGTTAAGGCAGAGTGCTGGTAGACACCGGATGCCAGGAGTGGGAAGGGAGTAGGCGAGTGTGGATGGCGGAGAAGGCACGTAGCTGTAGGAAGGGCAGAGGCCAGTCTAGAGCTGGGGGGCGGGGGGTGACATGCCTACCACTCTGAAAGAAAGACGTGCTACGTGGGAGGCGAGGTCCCCAGGTGCCGAGGCAGGGCTCCTTCTTGGGTCACAGAAAGCCCAGAGCCAGGCCCAGAGAGGAGAGCAAAGGGCTTACCCTCTTCTCCAAGGGTGGCGTGGGGGCCAGAAAGATAAACACACAGTCCTGACCCAGCACGGCAGCCATGTCTGGTCTCTATGAGGAGTCAGAATTCTAACTAAGATTCCCAAGACTTCCCAGCCTGTTCCCAGATGAGGATGAGCTCTCAGACCCACAATCCAGGAACTCTCAGAAGGCAAAAGGGATTCTAAAATGGAATTAAGGCTACCGCTGAGCGACGGTGAGCTCCTGAAAGGATGGCGGATCTCCACCCATCATGGAAGCAGAGGTCTCCAGTTGAGAGCGGGACACGATGTCATCGGGTGCCAGCTTAGATATCTGGGGGTGATTTGAAGACAGAGGGGCCCGCATGGAGGAAAGAATCCCAGAGAGGCAGCTTCTAGGAGCTGGCACCCAGCAGGAAGCTGTGGCCTTCCGTCCTATAGCCGAAGGAGCTGAATTTTGCCACCGGCGAGAACGGTTTAGATCGGGAGTTTCTAGAAACCAGCCCAGCCAGCTGACTCCTCGATTGTTGGGCCAGCTGAGCTGACAGCCCGGCTGGGCCCACCTGGACCGATGATCTGCAGAACCGGGAATAATAAACAGGTGTTGTAAGTGGCTAACTTGTGGGCGATCTGCTCGGTAGCGGCAGAAACGGAACATTTTCCCACTGCCCCCTTAGAAGAGTTCTCGAGGCTCTGTGACTCCCACTGTGCAGGGGGACCAGGGACAACGGGCAGGTGTCTGGCTGGGGCTCTGGCCTGAGCTCAGCTGGCTCCAGCATTCTTGGTATCACAAACACTTCTCCTACCACAGATGAGCCGTAGCCACTGGCTCCAGTCAGGGGTGCCTTGGCCCCTGCCCCAAGGTGTGGGCCCTCAGCACCTCACTGTCTCCTTTTTAAGAACCACCCCCACCTGCAGCCGCTATCAGCCCACAGCCCACAGGGTACAAGGCTGCCCCGACCCCGCTACCTCCCTCGGGGGCGGGGTGGTGGTGGTGGGGGAAGAGCAGGGCTCCGAGCAGAAACAAGAGAAGGGTGGTGA